AGCACACCTGGGCTGGGAGGAGGAGGAAGAGGAGGAGGAGGAGGAGGAGGAAGGCCCAGGGCCAGCCAGGGGACCAGGGGTCCCCACCAACAAAGGAGGACCAGGCACCCCAAAAGAGAGGGAAGGAAGGAGCCAAGCAAAGAGATGCCAATGCATGCTTCTCTAGTCCTGCTCCCAAGTTGGAGGAGCTTTTGGGAATTCCTCCTGGACAGAAGGAGGAGAGGCAAAGGAGGCCTTCTGGCCACCCTTGGTATGACCAAAGACAACCTCAAAACATTTCTAGAAATGTTACCACACGCTTCTCTAGTCCTGCTCAAAATGGAAGACTTTGGAGGAATTCCTCCCGGACAGAAGGAGGGGAAAAAATGGAGGAGAGGAAAAGGGGGACCTCTGGCCACTCTTGGTATGACCAAAGCAAAGCTCAAAAGACTCCGAGAAATGTCAATGCATGCTTCTCTCGTCCTGCTCCAAATTAGAGGAGCTTTTGGGAATTCCTCCTGGACAGAAGGAGGTGGAAATGAAAGACAGGTCCTGGAAAAAAAGGAGGAGGTATGGTCACCCTGTCCTCACTGCAGAGGAGGACATGGCACCACAAAATGGAGGGCATTTTAGGGGGGAAATGGAGGACAGGGCCCAAGAAAAGTGGAAAACATTCAAAGAAATAGAAATGCACGCTTCTTCGTCAGGCTCAAAATGGAAGACCATTCCTCCTGGACAGAAGAAGGTGGAAATGGAGAACAGGTCCAGGAAAAGGAGGAGGCCTGGTCACCCTGAGCATCACTCATGGTTCTTTCCTCTCCTCACCTTTTCACTGCAAGCAAAGCTGGGTCTGCCCACCTTTTTCTACCCACTTGCCAAAACTGGTACCTGGGTGGTGGGTGCAAGAGGGACTCAAGTCCCCCTCGTGTACTGCTCCAATCCAGTCGCACACATTTTTTTTAAATATTTCTTTATTAGATTTATACCCCACCTTTCTCCCCAAATAGAATTCTAGGTGGTTACAATAATTCTGGTTTGAGTGTTGGAGTATAACTGGAGGTCAGGGATTTTCTACGCAAGATTTGTTCAGAGGGAATTTGCCCTTGCCTTTCCCTAAGGTTGAGAGAGCGTGGCCTACTTGAGGTGACCCAGTGGTTTTCCATGGACAAGTGGGGATTTGAACCCTGGTCTCAAAAGTCCTAGTCCAAGGCTCAAACCACTATGCCACACTAGCTCTCCAATGATGCCATAGTCCCTGATAACCAAAAGATCCCAGTGTTTTGACAGCACAAGCCTTCATTTCAGTACACCATTACAGGCATGTACCAATGTACAGCCCCTCTGTATAAGGATTTGGTCCCTTCACATAGAGAACATATCTTCTCAAGTTTGCTGAATATGTGTTGTGTAATCAGTGTGTGTGTGTGTGTGTCTGTGGGACAAGACATTAGACACACATTGAACATATAGGGAGTGTTGTCTGAACCCCTTTACTTTGTGATACCAAAAGTCCTGGTCTTAATTAAGGTAAGATCAGCTTTGGGGATTGTTTCTAATGTAACATCAAGGTAACCTACAATTTTTAGGTGCTTCAAAGGAAACAAAGCATCCCAATAATTATTCAGTGTTGTTGCTTTTAGTATATCCCCATATTGAATGTTGTTTGGATTCCTGCAATGGATGGAAGAACAGATCAAGACAAATTTTGCACAATGAAGCTGACTGGCAGCAGATTCAGAACACACAAGATAGCTTTCACATGACTTACCTGTTGCAGGACATTGTCATGGCCACCAGCATAAAAGTCTTTAAAACAAAATTATAGAAATATGTGGAAGTAAGGTTAATCATTATTAAGCTATGAATTTTAAAGGGTAAAAGAATAACTTCCTGTGACGGCTGGATATCTGTTTATTATAAAGTCACTGTCAAGACTAGTTATGTATTCATTCACATGATTTTTAAATAGGATTTAGTATACTTTTGAAATGTGAATAATAAGGCTTTATTATATATTTGTTAATGAAGCAGTATTATGATCCTGTTGTAATGTTGCTGATGCTTAATGAATTGGTGAACTTGTAGATTTCCAGATGGTGGACTCCATCAGCCAGCAGCCTTGATACCTGGCTGGATTTACACACAGCTGGATTTCAACCACACCTGAGGGGGTCTCAAGTTGCTCTTTCCCCAAATGGGACAGATTCATGGGTATATATTACTTCCAGTGGCAGCTAGGAAGGGCTGCACATATAAAAGGAGTGATGCTGAATTTTAAACTTTCTGCTTTGAGAAAATTCCACTCAACTCAGGAGGTTCATGGTGAGATCATCTACTCACTGTTCTTGTCCTATGTTTTGCCTGTAATTTCTGGATCTCAGCAATAAGGAGAGCATCAACATTTCAAGTACTTTGTTGTTGTTGTTTTAAAGTCATTTTATTAACTTTTTTATAACATTGAAAAGTACAACATACATACTAAGAATTTCCCTTTAACCCATTCATACCCTATCAGTATCTTCTCTTAATACTATATACCTGAAAATCTTAGGGACATGTTCAAATTAATAAAGCAGTTTTCAATCATTCCTACCTTAGCAATCATTCATACAGTCATTCTGTCTTACAATCAGTCCTACAATCATTCATATCCCATCCGTTTCATTGACTTCCTAATTCAATCAAATTTAATAAAAACAGTTTCTGTCTAAATTTCTTGTAATGTCTTTAATTTTATATCCTAACATTAACTCCTGACCTTGAGAAATTCAAGGAAAAAGATCTAACGTCTTTTCATTTTCTTCTATTCTTTTCTATATCTATATGTTTAGTTTTGAATTCAGTGTCTTTTCTGATCCTTTCATGTA